CATTGTTATTTATTAAAGTACCATCATTACCTGATAAATGCTCTTAGAAGGGGATGGATTTATTATTGTTGTCACACAACTAAAAGGTAACACCCTTCTGACTGCAAAATAATACACTTTCTGCTAATGGAAGCATTTAACAAAGCTGGGAAAAAATGTCCTTGATATTTACTAATAGACCAATACCATTTTCTAGGTGTAGCTCCTCAAATCTTCAGACCCTGACATGAGATTTAAAGCTCTTCTTAATTAGTTTATCTACTTGCAAATACGAATATATTAAAAGATCAAACAAAAAGTATGTGCTTATATTGTTTCAAAATTTCTTTTGATGGAATCCTAAACAACAGGTCAAGTTCAAAACCTCACTCTCTGTCCCTACATTTTTTTCCAGTCCTACTTTTCAAACAAAAGGGGTGTGAGGTGTCATGGCAATGATGCAACTGCTGGAGTTACAACTTTAGAGCATCACTGAGTGTTGGGCTTTTTTATTTGCTGTGAATGGATTTCATTCTAATTTTACAAAAAGGCTGATGAAGAGGTGAATAAGCCATTTTCAAGATGTTCACTTGTCAGTTGGTGGGGACTCAGTTAAATCCAACAGCAACATCTTCCACTACTGTTCCTGGTGTAATTCTTCACCCTGGCATCAGCACTGAGTTATTAGTGATCAGCAGCACTTTGTTACCCTGTCTTGGTCAGTGAGAGTTGCCCACTGGGGGGTTCATCAAGTAGTCTCTCAAAAATTCTGGTTCTTTCCTCGTGTAAAACAGTTGATACAGGTGATGGATGGAAGCACCTCTGTCTTTTCCACTAAAGGAGTTCGTGTGCAGAACCCTGGAAAAACAATTCCAAGTGTGAACTGCTTGGGCATCAACAGTTCTCAAATCAGTGTTTATTCAATTCGGGGTTTTTGTTATTGAAATCAGTTAAATATAGTTGGTATTTTTTAGTTAGTAGACCGTATGTTGATGGAGTACAGACATCTCCTGGTAGGAGTGAAAGAGTTTAAGAAGAAAGTGTGATAAAATATGCATATTCTTTCTGTAGAAGAAAGAAAGAAAGAAGGGAAAGAAGCTTTGTCTGGAAGGATTTTTACTGTCCTTCAAGTTGAAGAAAAGGAAAGGTACATTATTTGAGCCTTTTCTCCCGCAGCCTTCTTTAGAGACTTACAAGATGAAAGCAGGATCTCTTTGAACGTGAAAACCTTCAAGTTAAACACGATTGTTTAGCGTTTAGTAAAAGAATTTAATGAACTCTTACTAGTACATTCCTCATATATCTTCATTCGAAGCACTTACAATGTACCCTAATACACCCAGAAAAAGTACCACAGGTGTTGGGAGGAAACTGCTTTCCACTTTGTACTTTTGTATGTAAATGAAATTGCCTGAGCCATTAACACATTGGAGCAAACATGGGAGATGATCGTTGTGAGCTGCAAATATTATTTCGTTCCCGGCGATTCAAGGAAGCCTTTTAGTCGTTTAAAACTGGGGGGTTTGGATACTTTGGATACTTTGTATTTTCCCTGTATTTAAAATTCTATTCTGAATTATGAAAAACTATGTTTCCCGAGGACTCTACATTCTTCTATTACTGCAACAGTGTTATCCATAATTAAAACAAGCAGATATTTGCTGGAGGTAGAACATCTGATACAGACCATGCACTAAGGATGACGTGATGAGGTCTCCAGTTGGAGGGAGCTAATTAAATGTGGGAGAGCTGTAACTGAAGTGAGGAGGTGAGAAAACACTACAAACTAAACAGAAGCTGCTATTTAAATGTTTGCACTTTAGAAATGCTTGTATGGCTCGTGTTCTATTTTCTTTTCTGCAGGGCCTTATATAACTACCACCATGACAACAGTTAAGTCTATTCCTATGGTGTATCAAGCAAACTAACTGAATGTCACATTTGAGCTATTCTTGCCCTTTTTCTTTCCAGTCATGGACCACAGAAATCTGGGAAAAAATGGTGGTTTATATCAGCTGCTGGACCCAGATATGTATTTATGCACCATTAATGTGAAGTTATCTGTAGATATTACTTGAAAATAGAAATTAGTCCTGTAAGCAAAGCTCACACTTGTCCCAAACCCGGGGGAGAACACTGCAGAAGGTATTTAGGTGTCCAGAGAAATCAGTGAGACATTTTGGCTCCACACTATAAGAAAGTCCACATCTGTGATTTGCTAATCCCTCATGGATTTGTGATACAATCTCAGAACACAGATATTACATTGGATGGAAGCCCAGCTGAGAAGAGTTATCAGTTGGGTATAGGGAGAACATAAGCAAGCCTGAAAAAGCTATTTTGGAGACAAAAGCAAGCTTACAGAGTAGTTATATTGTTTTGGAGACTGTGGGTAGGTTTCAAGTGTTCTGTACAATCCAGTTAGTTCTCTGGTTAAAATTCTGCTGATTTCCCTTTCCTTGGACAGTAAAATACGTTATTTTTGTTTTTTTCTCTGAAGCTATCTCTGTAAGAGAGACTTTCTGCTGGAGATATTCCCTGGGGAAAGTCAATATTCTATAGTCTTTACCTAGACCCAGAGAGAGTCTTGAATATGCAGTTCAACCACTACAGAAGTTTCAGACAGTTGTTGCATAACTAATGTGCTTGATCTAGAGAGGGAAGAAAACCTGTCACAAGTAAAATGGTGTGTTAAACTGAAACTGTAGTGAAAAGTAAATCAGTGCAATCAGAAGCCATTTCCTTCATGACCATCCACCATGATGATGACAATAATTTGCTATTCACTCCTGTCCCAGCCTGATGTAGAGGGAAGGACAAATTCATCAAAGAAGGAACATGTTTAATCAGTTCATGCTGTGTTCCACTCCTGATGTAATGTTTTAAGACTGTGGTGCAACACGGTCACACCCACTCATATAATAATTAGGGAATAATTAATTTGCCACAGTGGCAGCCATAAAAAGTCAATGAGCCTCGATGTGCAATAAAAGCAGAGGCATAGAGGGATATATAAAATTTCAGGAAAGGGCGCTGATCTTGAATTTGTTGAAGGTAGTGGCAAAAAAACCTGCAAGTGCAAAATAAAATCCCGAGTCCCATAACCAAAAAAACCACAGTAACCTGTAAAAGGCAACCCCAACAAACATAAGAACAGAATAACAAACCTACTTACACCACTGTAACTAAAATGTATGCTGAGTAGATCTCAAAAGAAAACCTGAAAATTGGCAATGAGTAGAGATGACTGGGTACCTTTTTCATGTATATTTTATTGTTTGAATAATAGCATTAGTCTCAAGGCAGGAGAGATTTGGCCCTTTTGTACTTTTCCCTAAACCTCAAGTGAATTTTTCCTGTGGGAAAATGAATGATTGGCTCTTTGTGAAATTATTCTTCAGCATTAGGCATTGTTCCTTTAAACTTCTGATACAAAGAGCACCTCATTCCAAAGCTTCCAGTCTCCTGTCTCCAACTCCATTAGATAGGATCGCTGCCTACCTGTGACTTTTGCACTTTTTTACATCAACAATTTACACTTTCAAGATGTTTACAAACCATCTGGCTCATATTTAATTTTAATCAGACCAAATCTGGGAAAATACCTCGTGGTTTTTTTGTAATTGAATTATCTAGAAGAACAACAGCGACAAAATATCATATCTTGTAACAGATATACTAATGCCTTCTTCACACCTAAAGGTAACATTGCAAATTGCTGTAGTTGCTCAGAGATTTTGGAGGGTGTTTTCAGAATGCCTGAACATTTTCTTAAACTTTCTTCTGTGGAGTTTATGGAAGTTTTTATAGTTGATTTTAAGGAGGGAAAGAAGGCAGGTGATGCTCAGATCTTTTAAAACTCAGACATTATCTTGGTTCTTTCCAAACCAGTGTTCTCTGTGGCTGTTTGAATGACCTGCTTGATTTTCCTGTGTGAGAAGGTTGCCTGAGACAGGACTGCACACAATTTTCACAACTGAATCCAAGAAAAGGATTCAGTAGGATTCCTGATCCTGATTTAACAGAACTGTTGGGATAGTTGGAGAAAATTTGCTAATTGATGATTTATATATGATTATGGCTTTATAAAAATCTTGCAATATTCCAAGAGGGACCACAGAATTTGACCACGCACAAATGTACGCAGAGAAAAGAAAACAAAAGGTGTTACTCTGGTCTTCCAGCTCCTCTGCACACACGTGTGTTAAATCAGACCCAGTGGAAATCCTTAAGCACTCCCTCTTACCTCTCCGATTTCAGAATAACAGGGGAAAGTTGAAACAGGTGTTGGAAAAAAAAAAAAGGAAGCAGGTTTTTCTCATCAGGGATACATTCCTCATGCCTGTTATAAATGTTTCCCCGTTCAAAACAACATTGTTTCCTGCTGGCAGAGAGAGAGTTAAATCAAAGCAGAGGTTGTTAAAGGAGCAAAGAGGAAATGTGAGGCAATGACACAGATAAGAACATCTTCAGATAGGTGGCTTCAAAGGAGCTCCGATGATAATGGCTGGGTCATCCCTTGGAGAAAAGCTAATGAGCTGGCTCCTTCCAGGCTACAGTGGGTGCTCTTCCCAAGGCTAAGTGGGGGATCAAAGAAGCCTAAAACCTCAAAGAACTAGAAAAGGGAGGGAGAGCTCTGGCTGAGCCAAGAGAGGCTTCCCAGAATGTGTCAATTCCGGAGCTGACAGGCTGGGAAGACTCCCAGACAGAAAGAATGTGCTGCGAGCAATGTAGCTGTTCCTCCTGAGAGAAACTAATCTGGATTTATGTAAATTATACCGTGTGGAAGTTTAGATTTGGGAACATGCATAAAAAAGAAAACCATCATTTTTTGCATTAACACCTGGGCCTGCGATCTTTATGTCTTTGAATTAGTGAACAAACAATATTTTGCTATCAAGTAAGCGCGGTTTGGAACTTTTTAATCAGCCTCTTAGCAGAACTCCTTCGGTAACTAAGCCCCAGCTGAAGGTATTGAAGTAATCCTGGTGGTTACCCAGGAACTGTTACCCGGCTACGCGAGGGCAAACTGCCAAAATTGCTGCTTAGGAAACGAAGTACCCCGGGCTCGACACCGCTGTAAGGACGTAACCTTGAGAAGGGACAGCATTCAATAACCCTGGTGAGGCTTTCTCAGAGTAATGGACCGAAGTGGGCTATGAATTTCTAAGCAGATCTTCTATGAGTGAGGAACTGTTCCCCAGGAAGGGCTGGTGATAGCCCAGTGCTGATGGACGGGTGTGGAGTGTTGGGCACATGCACTTTGTTTGTCCGAGATACTTAATGTTTGTCGTGGGGATTTTTCTATCACATTCACTGCATATTTTAAAGTAACTAAGACGTAGGTGAAGATAAAAGATTATTGTGAACATCTCCCCAAATGGCAATGGAAGGATCAGTGAATACAACAAGGGTGTGAGTATTCCGTGGGCCATTTCGGCAAAGCTTTGTTGGTTTACAAATACCTTCAACTAGAAAGAGGCAAATAATGCTATTGGAAGAGGAAAAAAAATATATCTCTGGAGAATTGTTTATCTGTCTACAGAGATGAAGTGTGGCACTTGGAAGAACTCAGTGTGTTAAACCCCCCACTTTGTGCTCCCAGAATACCTTACAGGGGAGCAACAGAGTTCTTTCCAGTTTAGCACTGACAGCAGCACGTACTAATCTGCAGCCTCATGGTGCCGAAGTGTGATAATGCCCCGACAATACCAGATGAAATCTGCAGCTGCTCTCTCCATGTCCTCTTTCTGAGAATCCAACACAGTCTGTTGATACCATCCAGCCCTTGGGTGGAGACTTGCCAACACAGCACACGGCTCAAGTGAAAGAAAAGAGCACTGAAGGGCATCAAAATGCAGAAAATTACTTTTTAGATTTCTTATGTTATTATTGCCTACTTTTAGAGAATCCAGAGTATGACTATTGTAATTATACAGGCAATCTGAGATCAGATAAAACAATCATCAGTGATTTAATCACTATTGGATGATTTTTTTAAGAGCTGTTGTTGAATATACTGAATAATGCCTTTATAGAGGTAGCTGTTTTCCTTGGTACAAGACCTTTCTTCTATAGATCACTCTCTCTCACTGGAAGCTTTTTGTGAGTGGCAATGACTCTGACTTAATGAACCTCTTTTCCAAGTGGGTTCTTCTCTATCATGGAATTGTTTTAGCATTGTTGTTATAAGCTTCCGTAGAGATAACATTTTTAATAGCCTGTTCTATTCTGGCTCCATAGCCTGTGCCTCAATTCTATTAGAAAATGCTCTGCAGAGTCACCAGGGTATAAGAATCTGATTAGAAAACTTGGGGCACTGTCTTTTTAGAAAGGATCTTTGTGTTATCCACAGCAGAGGAAAATGAACTATCCAGTGAAGGTATAATACACAAAACTAATTCAAAATCTCAATGACTACTCACTTATTCAAGCAGCTACCCCTAGAGAGAAGAGTTGAGCGAAGTGGTTATAGGTAGTCTCATGATAATATCTTTACATTCCTGCAATGCCTTTCTTGCCAAGATATTTTACAAGTAGATACAACCTAAGGGTTGTAGAATTAAAAATTATTTTAGCCTGAAATAACCCTGCTTTCAGTGGGATAACCAGGATTTCATTTTTCCTTCCGATTGTTACTTTCAGACTTTACCATAGACTTGACATTGTTTATCCTACAGTCACATTTCTGATTGACTAATGACTTAGGCTATAAAGAGACATAAATTGGATTAACTCAGTTCTTTACTCTGGGAAATAATGCCCATTGTCTCAGTTTCTGACCTCCTGTGCTCATTTCTGAGATAGATGACATAAAAGATTTACAATTCTGTATGCTGATCACACCATCTACATTCTGATGAGGATCTAATTATAGTTGAATTACCATTGATTTACTAAAAAAAGCTCCAATCTATTGCAATATTGTACTGTCCAAAAAGCATTAAAAAGTTGAGCCCTGTATTACAACACTTCTAAGTGCTGGCATGTTGGCCTTCATCACTACATGCCCAAGCTGCTGAGTGAGTCAGTGACTGAATAATACCTTGTTTAATAATCTTTTGTCAACTGCAGTATCTCATCTGGAGGGTTATCATAATAAAGACAGTAATTGTTTCTTCAAAGTAGCCGTTAGAGAATTGTGTAACCACTACCATTCTAATTAGAGCATTCAAGATTAATTTCAAGAATAGTGTTCCTTGAGAGTTCAGTCACAGGAGATGCTCATTTAGAAAGAAATAAAGCTGTTGTCCATGCATATGTAAAGGCTGGGATACTACACACACTTAATAAAGCACAATATTATAGCCAGTAGAGATGAATAAAGTACTGAACTCACTTTTCCAAGGTCATTGCCTGGGAACTGAAGAATTATTTCCCTAGTGTTGTCTAAAGTCCAGTTCACTGAGATCTGCTGCATTTCAGATGTGCATCCTTTGAGGAAAGCACTTCTTTATATTCTGAGGGCACAAGGGCTGCAGATGTACCTCTGGGAAATAGCCAAGCGTGAGAGTGGGTGACAGGCAACTTTTCCAGGTGTACCTGGGACAGACTGATCAGGAACCTGCTTAGCTTAAGACTGATTTGCACAGGCCGTTACACGGTTTCCTGATTTTTCTCATGCAGCCCAAGTTTGATTGCAGGAAAAAAGATGTAAATCAGCCTCCTTTTGAAGGCAAAGCAAATCCTAAACTCATTGGATGTGGACAACTGTGAGATCAGGGGAAAGAAATAAATGGCATCATTTGTTCACTGTGAGAGTTGGGACAGAGCAGTGGAAATGACAGGATGTGACTGTTTCGTTTGCTGCTGATTTCTGTGTGCTAACTTCATCTGCAACACTTACCAGAACGATAAAACCACCGAGGGACACCAGATGGTGCTGCTGTAGATGCTCTTGCTGCTTTGGATGCCCTGCTGATGTGGCAGTTTGCTTTTGGAGGAATGCTCCTGGTCAGCTGTGATGCGTTCAGTTTTGGGAGCTGAATACACAGCCAGCAGTATGTGCACCGATCAGGGACAGAACTCCTCTTAACTGGAGTGATGGCCTAGGAGCCCAATTTAAATTCCTGACTTCAGATTCCAAGGAATTTAAGGGAAGCTGGGATCTATGTTTGGATCTGAAGTTTCCACTGAAAGAGACTTTTCTCCTTAGCCAGAATCACCTGGCTCTGACCCGCTTGGTGGGATTCAGAAAAATGTAATATGTCCAGAAACCAAAGTGAATTCCAAAAGCTGCAGAACTGGTTGCCTTCTACTAGTTGAGCAAGTAGTCTAAATGCTTTTATTGTTTTAGGATTGTGAAGATATTTTATAAACCATCCTTTTAAAGTGAACAGACCAAGCATTTGAGCCCCCTGTGGCTGCTCACAAGATCTGGTGTGTTATTGTCCCACTGCACATTGCTGGGATACAATAAATACCGTCCTCTGAGAGACAAGTATTTTTATATCAGGAGTTGCACAGGCTAAATACACAGGGATCCTCTTCAGGGCGCTGGCAAATGGTGCTTTCTCATGCATGAAGGTGTTCATATTGCTACTCACCATCCAGCCCACTGAAAACATCCCTATTCTTCTTGATAGCTCTTGATTTTCATTTGAAATGCAGAAGACACGCACATTAGTGCTACATTAAATTTTTTACATGTGCTGTGCTGATATGCTGTCAGGTCCCTTTGCTTGAATATTAATCCCTTTTTTTTCGATGTGTGAAATTTTACATTTCAATCAAAGGGTCTTATTTTTCATTGCCAAACTCCTCTATGACCAAACTTCTCACAGTGTTCTTTTTGTATTTTATATAGACTTCTGCTTTACCTTGTTACTTATTCCCCCACACTCTTGCAAGCAGCTACAATTCAGTGAGACAACTGATCAGCTGAGGAGGACACTGGCAAAAGTATCACATTGTACCTCTCTAGAACTGTTATCTGGGGGTGAGTGAGCCATTTCAGCTGACTTACTGTCAATAGGAAAGGAAGAATATCCATAGCATAAGTTTATATTTCAGCTTCTTCCTATTTAGAAATGGAAATATCCTCTCTGTGGAAACTCTTTTTTTTTTTTTTTTTTTTTTTTTTAAACCACGAAATGAACCACAGAATAAAAAAAAAAAAAAAAAAGAAACTAAAATTTCAGTAGTACTGAAAACCAACACAATCATAGCGTTATGTAACTCCTTTCCACTGCCTGATCTCACAGGATAGCAGGAAATAGGAAATATAGTTGAAGATGATTCATCACATGCCCGAAACAGATGTTCCTCAATTTGAAACGTATCATCTCAGCCAGGCAAATAGAACTGTGGTGGATGTCAGATGCAGTTACATTTGCCTGACAGATACACCACGCTTTGGAATAACATTACTGCTAATGATAGCCTACTGCTGATGGGGAGTTCTTTGTTTTGCTGTTGATGTAGAGCAGTCAGGTCTGCTTGGTGCATCCATTAGCAATAAAGCTTTGTGTGTGTGTGTGGTATTGCTAAATTGAATTATAATGCAAAACACAGGCGCCATCCTCCCTTCATTTTTCAAGCGTTGCCTGTGCAGCCTCAAAAACAACACTTAACAGAGCAAGTTACTCTCCTCCATAGAGTTAAACCACCTGATTTATTTCCCTTTAGGATAACAACTTCCTGTGGTTGACCTTTGAGCAGAGCTGAAGTTACATCCCCATGCAACAGGCTGGCCTTTGTGTGTGGCTGCATCCCCATCTGATGCCTGGTGCCAATTCTAATTGTACTGGGGCCAGCAGCCACTGCCATCTCTCAGAGCTCTAAAGATTTCTTGGGGAGGATATGAAATAATAAAATACCAATCTCCTCGTGCTCCTTAACAAAATACTGGGGTGGCTTTGCATTTTTCCTCAGCAGGGTTTGGTCGCTGCTCTAAAATAAAAAGCCTTTTTCCTTCAGGTGAGGTTCCCATTTGCATAGCAAACGGCAGAGAGGATGTAAAAGCCTGGCTGCTGGACAGCTGCAGAGATGCTGGGATTCACCAGGACAGCTGGCCAAGCCCAGAGGGAGTTTAAACTCAAGACCAAAGATTTATACCGAAAAAATGCTTAACAGGGGTTTTATGAAGATAAAAGACAGGAAGTACACAGCTTATCCTTCTTC